TTTAACTTGCTGTTGTTTTTCTAGAAGCTCAAGGTTCAACATTAGGTTATTTATTTGAGCTTGTTCTATTTTTTTGATGTGGGAATTCACGGCTATAAATTTCCCTGGTAGGACTACTTTGATTGCATCCCATAGGTTCTGGTATGTCATATGATCATTTTATTGTAGAAACTGCAATTTTTTTCTTTAATTTCATCTGTGACCCATTGGTTGTTCTGGAGGGTATTATTTAATTTTCACGCTTAAAGTATTTTGTGTAGTTTCTTTTCTTGTTGATTTACAATTTCATTGCACCATGACTTGATAATATACATGGGATAATTTCAGTTCTTTCGCACTTACACAAGCATATTCTGTGAGTTGGTATGTGGTCTGTTTGGGAGAGAGTCCGGTATGCTGCTGAGAAGAATGTGTGTTCTGTTGGTTTGGGGTGGAATACTCCGTTGATAACTGCTCATTTCATTTGTTCAAAGGTTTGGTTCAACTCTGATATTTCTTTGTTGATTTTCTAGTTGTTTTGTCTGTTTTTGACAGTAGAGTATTAAAGGTTCCCTGTTATAATTGTATTAGTGCTTATCTGATTTTGTATCCACTAGTGTTTACTTGATATAGTTGGGTATGCTGGCATTTGGTGCATGTATATTTGTGATTGTTATTGTTCCTCTTGGATTGTTCCCTTAACAAGTACATAGAGACCTTCTTTGTCTCTTCTGATCAGTCTTGGCTTGAAATCCACTGTCTGCAAATAGAATAACTATTCCTGCTTTTTTTGTGTGTTCCTGTTGTGTGGAATATTGTTTGCCATCCTTTGACTTTCAATTTATGAGTTTCTTTTTTTAGTTAAATACATTTTTTGTATGCAGCATGTGGTTGGATCTTGCTTCTTGATATATTCTGCCAGCCTGTTTCTTTTGATTGATGAACCATTCACCTTGATGGTTATAACTGATAGGTATTGTCTTGTCTTTGTCCATGTATTATTTTCCTGTTGCTGATTCACTTTCTTTTTTTTGTTGTCACTTTTTGGTTTTTTGAGACAGGGTCTCACTCTGTAGTTGAGACTGACCTGAAACTGTGTAGTCCAGGCTGGTTTCGAACTCACAGAGATCCTCCTGTCTCAGCCTCCCAAGTGCTGGGATTATAGGCATGCACCACCATGCCCAGCTTTTGATTCACTTTCTTTCCCTTCTATTTAATTACTTACCTCACCTAGTGGATTCGTTCTATTGGCATTCTTGGAATTGTTGTCTTTTTCTAGCATATCCTTCAGAAATTTTTAGAATGTTGGTTTGGCATTCATGAAGTTATTTAGGTTTTTCTCTTTTTAATCACAGAAGTATTATATTTCTACTTCAATTTAGAAAGGTACGGTGGACCTTGTTTCTTCAACTTAATTCTTTTCACAGTTCTGGTCATAAACTGAATTGGTTGCAAATAGAATCCAATTTCTCCATAAGGTTGACATTGAACCTGACCATTGAATTTGTTTTGGTTCTCTTCCAATTCCATTTGCAACCACAATCTTTGAAGGAATTATGCTCATGAACTGCGGGGCAACCCACTTTCCAAACCATCTTCTGTCTCTTAAACAGAAACTATCTTTCTATCAATAAATTCTCCTTACTCTAAAAAAAAAAAAAAAAAAAAAAAAGTTCATGAACTCAGGTACCATTGTAATTTTGCAGGGTACCACAATCTGAGATGGAGATTGTTTTCTTTCAGGGCTTGAAATACTTCACTCCAAGCTCTGCTTGACATAGGTTTTGTTTTGAGAAGTCTGCTGTAATTCTGAGGAGCTTGTCTTTATAGGTGATTTGTTTCTTTTCGGTACTGGGGATCCAACTCAGGTCCTTGTGCTGGCAAGGTAGGCAGTAGAACCACTGAGCTAAATCCCTGGCCTCTCTAATAGTTTTTGATACTGTGCTTGTGTTAAATTTCTGGAATCTTGACTATTATATGCCTTGGTGTAGTTTTTTTCAATCATGGCTAATTGGCATTGTATATATGTCACATATCTGTATGTCAAATTCTTTTTCCATGCTTGGGATGTTTTTTGTTATTACTTCTGTGAACAGATATTTTATGTCCTTTGTCTTGTCCTCTGATTTTTCATTCATTCTAATTTTACATTATTCTTCTTTCATAGTATTCTTCATATTCTTTTGTATTATTCTTCTAGTAGCTATTGGATTGATTTTTCATAGTACCTTGCTGTTTTTAAGAAGTCTTTCATTTGGCAATTGCTAACTGACTGACACCCTGTCTTCCAGATATGATATTCTGTTTTCACATTGTTTGATTCTGCTACATATACTTTCAATAGAATTTTAAATCTCCTGGCTATGTGTTTGACTCTGTTTTATGGAATCCAGTTCTTTCCTATGTTAGGCATTCATGGTTTCCATCATTTTCCTAAGTGTCTTTATTTATTCATTTTTTAATATATATCTGCTTTGGATTCACTAACCATGTCCTTAATTATGATCATCATCTCTTTAATTATCTGTGTAATTTTTTCTGTTTTGCTTTATTTTTAGAGATTCATCTGCTTAGTTACTTCCATTGTTACCATCTCAGACAGTTCAGCTGGATAGCTTCTGATTTCTTCTACCTCAGTGCCCCTTGGATTTGTCTTGGGTGAGCTGGAGGTCTGGGATTGCATCTTCTGTGTTTTCTCATTTTTTATTTATTTATTTTTTGTTTGTTTTCTGCATTGATGCTTGTAAATTGCTTAGGTAGGTAGCTTTATTACTAGTTTTGAGATCTCTAAGAAATGACTACTTTTCAGAGATATCTTCTAGGAGTAGCTGGCTCTTGGCCTTCAAGTCTGTCCCAGGATCCTGCCTCTTCTGTTTATTAGGGATTAGAGGTTCCAGCCCATTTGACCTAACACCTAGATGTTTGGTACTGGATTGTAGTATTGTTTATGTCCCCAGACAGTCTGGGTATTGGCATACGAGGAAGATCAGTTGATCACAACAGCTATGTCACCTAGACTAAAATGGTACAGTCAGCAGAGACAGTAGCCTCAAATGCAGACTGTGGATAACTAATAATTTGTCATTGTTAACCATGTGTACAAGATTTATAGTTATAGAACAAAACTAAGACAAATCAGAAAATTATACACAGTAAATATCCACTTCATAGAGTAATTTTATCCTTAGGAGATAGAAGAGGCAAAAATAGAGAAATAAAAGAAGAAAAATAGATTGGAAGCAAAGCTGAAGGACAGAGGAAGATTACCCAAGCTTCAGGAAACTGGTGAAGGAGACAGGAGGGAAGGAAAGAAAGAAAAAACAAAGTCAGGGCAAAACAAAAACAAACTAAAAACAGTGTTCACCCTCACAATGAAACAAAAACAAACCATCAGAGGAAAAATACCCAAATGAATAAAAACAAAAGCAAAGAAAGAAAAAAAAAAAGAGAAAATTTTCTGTGATTTCAAGCCTGTGGTTATCTTCTGGGGTCTATAGTTTTGTGACAGTGTCCAATTCAAGGCATGACTCTGACTCTACTCTTGCTGGTAGACAGAGGAGGCAGTCAGAGCCCAGATCCGTGCTAGATAATCCCAGCAAGTGGCAGGAGGATTGGGGTGCTGGTGGTGTTAATTTTGAGATTTTCAAATCCATGGAAGTTCAGGCTGAACTTGACACCTGGTCGTGGGGTTGAGGCCTGGGTCACATAGCTTATAACACACTAGATGTCTTTGGCCAGCTTGCCCACAGCTCCCCGATCATGAACGTCTGTGATGTCCCTCATCCAGTCACTGTGGTAAATCAACCCTGGGAGCCCTGAGATGAAGCCAAGCTGAAGCTGCTCTGAGTCCCAGGCTCAGTTGTTCTCCCCCTAAAATGGTGTCTGACCAAGTATGTGTTCCAGGGGATACAGTGGTCACTTGGAGGTGCACCCCTCACCTGCTGTTACAGCAGACAGAATCTACTGGTGTGTTTCTCTCTGGCGACCTCTGGAGTCATCATCTGCTTTCACTGTGTCTCTGTAGATTCCATCTTCTTTTCTCATGCCATGAGCCGGGAGCCGGGGAGAAAGTTCAGGTTGCCCTTTCCTTTCTCTGCATCGTGGCTGTCTCTTTAATTTTTCTGTAGGTGCCATTTTCACTTCGGGTCCTTCCTGGATCCCGGACATCCATTTCTCACCTTTTTTCCTCCCCCAAGTTTTTGTTTTTCAGTGTCTGTATTCTGAATCTCGGAGAGGCTGATTTATTGCTCCTTTACCACTCCGCCATCTCCCCGGAAATTCTCTGTCCTAGCATTTGCTTTCATCATTCAGGTTCTATGTACTGTTAACCATTTTCTGTGTGACAGATCTTTTATATACCTCTGTCATCACCCTTAAAATCTCTATTGCAATTTTCTATTTGTTTCATTGCATTCATCTTTATATTCTTGGGATCCACAACAGTGTAATTTTCTTTACATTTTATTTTGGTTTTACATAGAAATTGCAAAGAATATATGATTGAAAGCCTGTATGGCCATTTTAATTGAAAAATGCAGTAAACTGGCCAATTATAGCATGGCTGACTAGCCAGTGCTAAATGGTACAAAGGAACTAAAAGGAGAGTTGAAAAATTGTGGAAGCTTTAACAATGGGATTTGACAATTAAAATTTCAAGTTACACTGAACGGGGTGGCACATGCCTGTAATCTCAGCACTTGGGAGGCTGAGGCAGGAGGATCATTGTGAGTTTGAGACCAGCCTGGGCTACATAGTGAGTTCCAGGTCAAAACAAAAAAAGAACCCCTGCCAAAAAAAAAAAAAAAAAAAAAAAAAAAAAAAAAAAAATTTCTGGCTCTGAAGTCACTGCTCACAGCTCACATGGTTTTTGGTAAATCTCTTGACTTTGGTGCCTCTCAGGTTTCTCAAGATGAACTCTAAAATCTCAGCCAGCTGAGAGGGACCATGATTCTGTGTATCAAGTTTACAGTTCATTCTCTCGGATGACTGTGTGCCTAACCATTGTTCCCGTTTATTTTTAGATGACACTGCAGACTATGTTGAGAGATTTGTAGAGGAAAGTGTAGAGGGTTATGCAGACATTCATGATTTCTCTTCAGTCAGTAGTCCACGTGTCAGAAAGCATTTTCCAGAGACTTGGATTTGGCTAGACACCCACATGGGGTAAGCAGTTATAAACTTCTTTGTTCGCATATATTTTGCTTATTGTATGTTTTAAATAAACATTGTATTGCAATATTTAAGCACAAATATAGTATAACGAAGAATGAAGTAAGCCAAGAGGTTTTTGTTTCAGAGTGACGGTCACTAAATCTAATTATGGTATTTAATAAAGTTGCATGCAGATTGAGGCTGCAGAGTATCATTAAGGAGTAGGGAGCCTTTTAAAAAATGAAGGATAGTTTTAATGTTCTTCAAGTCTCACAGTTGGAGAAAAAAGGCTAGGAGTACATTTGTGGCCATGCGCAGGAAATGCTCAGTTACCTGAGGCAGGACAGCTGCCTCCTCGTAAGACCCCATCAGCCACAGGGAAGGAGCGCAGGTATGGAAGGGGTTCAGCATCACCGAGCAGCCCTGGGATCCCTGATAACTGAGTAGAGGAGTCTTGGAATCTGGGCTGGGGATACAGCTCAGTGGTGCTTGTGTGCCTAGCATGTGTCAGGCCCTGGGTTTGATCCCCAGTACTACAAACAAAAGCAAAACGAAAAACAAAAGCCCTTAAAATCTAGATAGTATTTTACAGTCACACTTTGAAGAATACTTTCAATCAGACATGAATCTCAAACAACCACTACAGAAATAAACAAAAAAGAGCCGGCACTGACAGAGATAAAGAGAAAACTTATTCTGCAATCGAGAAAAAAATGGGAGTGAAGTTTAGAAATGCATATTTATCCTCTGTACAGAATTATGAAAATATATCGATCATTCTGAAGCTATAAGCATTGTAGAAAGATTTTATTGGAAAACAGATCAGTATGCAATATCATAATCTACTTTGTGAGAACTCGAGATCTACTTTTTTATGCTAAAATGCTTTTAAACTTAATAAATGACAGAAGATTAGAATTTCCCCCAAATTGGTTATGTTAACTTATTTTGAAGTGTGTCCCTTCTTGGTTTACTGATTTTTGTGTTTGTCTTCACTTCAGATCCAAGATTTACCAGGAGTTTGAAGTCACTGTGCCTGATTCTGTCACTTCCTGGGTGGCTACTGCTTTTGTGATCTCTGAAGACTTAGGTCTTGGCCTAACAGCTGCTCCTGTGCAGGTAGCATTTTAAGGGCTGCTCTTAACGTCACACTACCCTGAAGCTAAGAGTTTCAGCTACTTGATAGATTTTTAAAAAAGATTGCTTATGATGTTGCCATGATTTAGGGATTCTTTGGCTTTGCATTTCCGCTTTCCATGTGTTTCAAATTTTAGAATGTGAGCTGTATTAAATGACTTGGCAAGTCTCTATTAAGGTTTGGGTAGGAAAGTTTATTACTGAGCTGATCTAACAACTTCCCATGGAAAGGAAAGAAAAAGGATGTTTCCGAGTGTCCCTCAAAGGATGAGCAGAACTTCTCAAGATGTCCCTTGGTGAAGGTGATTCCTTCACATCTCCTTGGTCAAATTGCATCACATTTTGTTTCCAGTGACCAAGAAGAGTAAGAATGACCATGTGTACCCTAGACCAGTGCTGTCACTTCTGGTACAGTACCTGGCACTCCCTGCTCATAAAAGTCTGTGTTGCCTTTTTACCATCCCCAAATGAAATTTATAGAAAGTATAACATACCCACATACATGGAAATGAAAGGAAAATGTGTATAGTAACTTAATACGTATTTTAGGATGGAAGTGGTCAGGCAACATAAACATTTGCAGCAGGCAGAGCCACCCTGCACGTAAAGTTATGAATGCAGTTTGATGTACATGTGTTGAGTTCAGCAGCTAAAGAACCACTGCCTTTGGTATTGTAGATTTCTGAAATAGCGAGCAACTTTTGGTGAAGTTACACACAAAATAAGATGCAGTGTTCTCTTGATTTACAAAATAGTTGTATCTGTGAGAAATTCATTGCATGTTGAAAAATGCTTTGAGTTTGTATATAAACTGGAATTATGTTGTAAGCTCAGACCATTTTTTTTTCATTAAGTTTATTGGTCCTTTTTAGGTATACAGTATAGTTTACATTCATCACGGGAATCTTGTACCTTTACATGATGTATCTTGGTTCTTATTTTTTCCCCATTCCCCTGCCCTCTGTTTACCCGCTCCTCCCTTCTCTATTTACAAAGACTTTGTTTCCATTTTTTTCCTTTTCTTGTATTTTTTCCAGCTCAAAGCAGGTTTTAAATAGCTACTTTACATGAATGTCTACAGAAATGTTCAGGAGTCATGAGGAGCACTAGACAGTTCTCCATTGATTGAGACTCCCTGGGCATGGTAGAACTTCCTGGCCGGGTGCCAGTAACACCCCCAGTCTTTGTGACAGTCCAAGACGTCTTTGCAAATGTCCAAATAAACCTGTAGGCCGAATTACTGCCACCCTTGACTCCACTGACTTAAACCAGTCTAGGTTTAGCTTCAGAGATAGAGGAGCAGCTGGGCATCCCCTTTAGGCTCAGGATCAGAACAGGATCACCAAGGAGGAAGAGGAACAGGAGGAGGAGGAGGAGGAAGAGTAGAAGGAGTGTGTGTGTGTGTGTGTGTGTGTGTGTGTGTGTCGCTATGAAAGGGAGTGAGCAGAGACTTCCCGTACTCGTTTGAAACAGCGATTTGATTTGGTCAGTGGTTTTTCAGGGGGCTCACGGAGTAAACACAGTGTTAACAGAGGAGCAACTCGCTTCAGCATCAGATAGGCTTTTCTGTGTGCCATAATGTGAGCCTTTACTAGTTACAGAGATCTCCAGAGTTTTCTTTGTTGTAAAATAACATCCTGTGAGTGTAACACCCTCAGAGGGTTGTAATGACTAAGTGATATAACTTATGATGTTCTTAGTTCCTGGTAGGTGCTTACTAATGTATAGTGATTATTATATTAAATACCGTAAATCAAGTCAATTTGCTGTTATTCGTTTGGGATCACTTTTGTGCTTTCTGTTGATAAGCAAGTAGACATTAGTAGGTGGACTTATAAGCTTTACAGGCTTTGTGAAGACTGCTTTTAATTAGGTATAATGTGAAGTATTTTGACCAGAATAAAAATATGCCTTCCCTGTGTTCTTTCCAGCTACAAGCCTTCCAACCATTTTTCATTTTTTTGAATCTTCCCTACTCTGTTGTCAGAGGTGAAGAATTTGCTTTGGAAGTAACCATATTCAATTATTTGAAAGATGCTACCAAGGTAATACATTCAAGATTTTGTTGGTTGTCTGTACTTCAGGAGAAGTGGTTCCACTGCCTGCCTTGAAAGCACAAGGACCCGAGTTTGATCCCCGGTACTAAAAAAAAAAGAAAAAGAAAAAGAAACCATGCAGAGATTAGGTGGTGAAATACTTGGACATCTAAGCATGTTACGAATTTCTGGGAGATTGCGCATAGATGTACTTTGTCCGGGATGTCATGAGCACGTCTCTGCACTCGCTCCTTGATTTGCAGCGCTTCCTGTGGTCATGGGGTCCTGCTTTTCTCCTCCTGCCCCCATTTCTCACTGCCTTTCTGGGCCTGTTGATGTCCAGCGCGTATTCCCTTGAGGACCTGGTTGACACTGAGGTGCCTTTACTGAGGGGCCTCCCCTATGGTGTGTGTCCATTCTCTTCATGGCCAGCCATGTGCCTGTACCGCCTTAGCCACTCACTGCCCAGAAGTCAGGGATGAAGTCTGCTGTTTGTGTCATGCCCACAGTCGTGCAAAACAGAGGGTTGATTTTTTTGCCCTCAGAGTAACTAGGGATTTGCAGTTAACTTTATAGTGTGAAAAATGCCATAATTTTTGAAGTATTATATCTATACAATGCAGTATATAT